AGCTGTACATGCTGGCCCTTTTGGAACTGGTTCAGAGCATCAGGTCCCTGTGGTTTCCACAAAGTGAGTTCCTTTCTCTTCTACCAGCTCTGCCTGGCCTTAGGTCCATATTCCTCAGCATGAGACCCCCAATTTGGAGGTGATTTTTGGCTATTTGTTACCCCTTTCTAGGTGTTGATTGACCTGGATTTTGGGGAATCAGAACTGAGGAGCGGGCTTGTGTGTGAGCGAGGGTATGGGTGCATTGGGCAGTTTAGAGAGGGTCTGGAGAGTTTGACCACCCTCCTTGTGGAGTCAGAGCCCTGTTTGGATAACTGGCCACAGGCGCAGCGAACCTCCTGACTCCTGAGTGAAGGCTGGCTGGGTTTAGAAGTTCTCAGATGGGGCAGGCAGGTGCGGAGGAGGGCAGGGTCCTGCCTCCCCCGACGGTGACCCCTCCCCCAGGCACCTTTGCTGGCCTGCGACCCACTGGGTCTTCTTTATGTCCCTGCCTTCCTCTCTCCCCTTCCCATCATCACACTCACTCATCCCTTGTCCTTCAAGATCCTGCTCTTTGATCTCTGAAGAGGTGACCGGCTAATCGGATTTACCAATCTAAATTCATGTGCTGGTGGCAAGTTAACAGGTAACTCTTGAAGCTCTTTTAACTGGCCACCAGGCCTTATCAATCCAAGGGGGGACTGTCAAAGTGGGAACCTGGGGTGGAGGTGGGGTAGGTGTTTGGGCCTGAGGGGGCTGTTCCATTGCCCATCCACTCAGCAGGTAGGAGGGGAGCGCCTGCCTCCAAGCTGTGCCCTGTCCCCTGGGGCTGAGAGACCAGTGCAGCCCTTACACAGTTTTGAGGAAGATAAGGATTAGATATTCACTGACAAAAGTGAAGGTAGGGAGGTGTGGGGGAGGGCTGTGGAGCATCAAAGCATCAGGGAGGGGCACCACAACCGGATTTGGGCCATCAGGAGAGGCTCCCTGTAAGAGGAAACAAAATGACCTGGAGGGTGAGGAGGAGATAGCTTGTCAAGAGCGTGTCAGAGAGAAGAGAATGTTGTAAGGACAGATGCCCCCCATGTTTTCCAGGGCCCCCACCTGGGTCTCCAAGGGCATATCCAATGGTCCTGTCCCTCACCAAGGACCCTGGGGCATCATGACTTTGCGGGGGAGGGTGATTGGTGGGCACTCAAAGACAGGGTGGCTAGGGGCTCCTGACAGCCTTGTTCAACTATGAATTGTGTATGGCAGCATGGGGGAGCATGGGTTTTGGGGTGCACGAATAAACATGGGCTGTGCGGGGGCTGCCTGTGGTGTGTGGCCCAAGTGACCCAGGGATTGGAAGCCCAAACCTCTCCCAGGCAGCTGCGGTGGGAGTCGGGGGGCGGGGATGGGGTGCAGGATTGCTAGGGCCAACTGCAAATTAGCCAGGCTGGCGTTAAATGCCTTTGCTGCTTCTCTCCTCCCCTCCTGTCCCTCCCTGCCCTCCCGAAAATCAACAACTGTGTCAACAGCGGGGTAATTGTGCTTGGCTGGCAGCCTCTGGGGCTTCCAGGACCAGGCAGGTGCTGGCAGGGGCTGCCGAGCCCCACGCTGGGAGCAGTCTGGGTCTGGCTGCCAGGGCTGCAGGATAAACAAGGCCTCACACAGGCTGGCTCGGAGGGAGGGAGGCCGCAGGCAGGCAGGAGGGAGAACAGGTGTCTCAGGAGCATTGCAGAAACAAAGGGCCTCTTGTCTCCTCCTCCCCGGCCCCAGGGAGCAGCCCCCTCCCCCCTCTCTCAGGCCCTGCCTCGAGACCAGTGGCCAGGTCAGCCAGGGGGTGCTGGGAATGAGGGAAGGGCAGGTGCTGACCTCCAGACGCCCCTGCATCTCGGTGCTTATTTTTTCTTGCTTGAGGCAGAGGTAAAACCAGTCCTTACAAGGCACTAGCCCTGGAGGCAGGGTACCTGCCTCTGAACAGATCCACTGGCCATGAGGCCTTTGGGGGTCTCAGTTTCCCACCGGAAAGACAGAAAGACCCTCACCGCTGCTGGGGCACCCAAGGAAGAAATGGATGGGAGACAGGAAAAGGACCTGGAGCTTTTTAGAAGAAAGAAGCAGCAAATGTCAGGAGTGATGGAAGGTGGGGCAAGAAGTAGGGAGACCTGGGCCAAGGGATTCCAGGTGGGATTTGGGGTGGAGTTGGCTGGGGTGCAGCAACACCCTCTTCCCTCCATAGCCCTTAACGAAACAGACCTTTACTGAACACCTGCCATGTGCCAGGCACTGTACTAGGGATGGAGAGGCAAGGAAGAATAGCGTAGTACCCGCACAGACAGATGGACTGGAGCCAGACTGCCTGTATGGTCTTGGGCAGGTAACTTAACCCCCCGTGTCTCAGTTTCCTCGTCTGTAACATAGGGGTGATATTAGCCGCTGCCTCATGGGACTGTTATGTAGGTTAAATGTGTGAAGAGATGCCTCTTGTATATAGTAAGGGATACATAAGAGAAGGCCGTTATTGTTCCGTGATTGTCCTTGTCCCTGAGAGAGTATCAGGGACTCAAATCTTGCCAGAGTGCAGGAAGCAGACAGGTAAACAAATAATTGCAGTCCAGTCAAGTGCTAGAGACTAGGGATGTCAAGGGCTCTGCAATGCCCTGGAGGAACAATCAACTCTTCTAGGATTATTAGGGAGTGATTCATAAAGGAGGGGCAACATTTGAACTGGGCTTTGAGTGAGGTATAGGAGTTTTCTGATCAGGAATGTAGGAAGGGCCTTCCAGGCAGGGGCACCATGTGAGCTGCAGCCCTGAGGTGTGAAGGCGCCTGTTTGCACCTGCATTAGGGTCTGTGAGCCCGACAGCTGGAGGGTGACTGGGCTGGGCTGCAAAGGGCCTGAGCGGCAGGGGGTTTGGGCTCATCCCTAGTCTGTTCCAGGGTCAGGTGCCAACTTTGGTCGTCACTCGGTATCTTTCTTCCTCCTCCCCACACCAATACATTATGAATCACTCAGTCTAACGCTGGAATATTCTTCAGCTTATAGAGAAGCAGGATGGTTTGGTGAAAACACCATGGGGTCTTAGAGTCAGAAATTTCTGGATTCGAAGCTTTTGTATTTTGAATCTTGATGTTGGGCCATTTACCTAATTTCTTTGAGCTGCATAAATTGGGGTCATGGCTTCTCCCCTCTGGCAGAGTTATGGTTGGGATTGGAGGAAAGTTTCTAGATACATAGCATTTGCCCAGTAAACGGGAGCTGTTAGGATTACTCTCTGTGTTGTCTTGCCGATGCCATAAACCTTTCTGGGCCTTGGTCTCTATCTGTAAGGGGGAAACAGTGGTCTGTCTACTTCCTTCCATGATTTTCAAACTGGTAATGGGCCAGGCTGCCCATTTCCTGGGTAGATCAGTCAGGCCCAAGACCCAGGACCAAAAGGATCAGCTGGCAGCCTTCCCAGGGCACCAGCTGGTCCTGCTGGACTGAGTGGAGGGAGCTGACCTCCGGTGGTCCAGCCCAGGTGCTGCTCCCTCTGCAGCAGGCAGTGGGGCTCCACATCCTGCCTTTCCCACAGGGGTGAAGCCCTCCAGGGTTCCTCTAACAATTGCTGTGCTGGTATTTGAAGGGCCGATGGGCAGTAGAGGCCAGTGGGCACCAGAGGAGACCAAGGCCCTGGTCTGGACTGTGTGTGCTCAGGCCTGTCACTTCACCTCTTAGAACCTTGCTTTTCCCATCCGCAACTTGGGGAGGACCATTTGGACCCCTCCTGGGATAAAACAAGAATGCTGTGTTGCTGTGGCAGTAGAGTCAGATGAGGACGATGACAGCTACCCTAGTAATTTTTGTTGCAGTTTCAAAATCCAGATGTGGAGTCAGACACTTAGTCACACTCCCTCGTGTGTACCTGGTGGTGCCGTCCACAGTGCGCTTCCCTCCACGTAGCTCATCTCAGGGGTGCCTCGTGAAACCTTGTCAGAGGACAGAGAGTATCTAGCCCCCCCCCTTTTTTTTTTTTTTTTTGCGGTACGTGGGCCTCACTGTTGTGGCCTCTCCCGCTGCAGAGCACAGGCTCCGGACGCACAGACTCAGCGGCCATGGCTCACGGGCCCAGCCGCTCCGCGGCACGTGGGATCTTCCCGGACCAGGGAACGAACCCGTGTCCCCTGCATCGGCAGGCAGACTCTCAACCACTGCGCCACCAGGGAAGCCCCTAGCCCCCCATTTTGTGGATGAGGAAATTGAGATTTAGAGACAGGGTGGTGGGGCCTCGTAGCTCCACACTGACTGTGCGTCTGAAGGGATGAGGCTGATCCACATGACATGTCTGACCACGCAGCAGCACAGGAGGGAACCCACTCCAGGATCCTGCTGTAGGGTCCCCTGGTCTCCTGCCCTGGCATGCTGCCATTGGTTTTGAGGAACTGGTGATGGGACGGGCTAGGGGCATCGAGGAATGCCTGGAGTCCGTTGGGTCTCCTGACAGTTGCAGGGAGCCCATCCCGGGTCCAGACCTGGAAGGGTGTTTGCCTTGGCGGGGCCACCATCCTCCTCTCCTCCCTCATTTGCTACCTTGGCTGTGCCCATCGTGGGCATGACCCCATTTTCTCTTCTTCCTCTGTACTCACGTTTCTCCAGTGGCTTCAGGGTGAGGTGAGGTCAGGGAGAGAAGCTGATTCAGGAAGATGGGGCTGGGACAGTACTCTGGGGTCTCCTGGCCAGGTGGTCAGATAGCTTCCTAGGTAGCCCTGGAAACTACCTGAGTAAGACAGAGGCAGAAAGAGCAGCAGTGACACTTGGAATTTTCCAAGGGCCATGCACATGTTTACATATAATTTGCATATAACGAATACACTGAACACAATTTTGTAATCTATCCCCAAGCGGATTTGCCTTCTACTGTTGTTCTTTTCAAAGATGGCTGCTCCTGGCTTTTTATTCTTGTCTGGCCTCACCTCTATTCTGTTCTCCCCATCCCCCTCACAGAGGGCAGGTGATAGGGGCGGGGGGGGGGGGCGAGATGACACAGAGGGTCAGCTTTAGGTCAGCCCTGCTATTGATCACCCTCCCTGGGGTGAGCACAGAGGGTGGCCCCTGCCACTGAACACACAGGCCTGGCCTCCCTGCCGCTCCCCAGCGGCCCTCTCACCTATGAATGTGGCTCAGGGCACCTTCAAAGGCAGGTGCACAGAGCTTGGCACTTAGCAGGTGCTCAATAAATCTCAGGATAAATCGAGATTAGAGACAGGCAGGAACCTTGGAAAACAAAGACATAACCCTGTTCAGGCTCCTTGGTGCCCAGCTTTTGTGCCCGTGAAGGACGAGGTTGATGGGGAGAAGTGAGCCTCTGAGGAGTAGATTTCTCTCCTGACTGTGGCCAAAGGAGGCATTTCTTTCTCTTCTTGGCCTTGCAGGAAATAGTGGTGGGGATGAGAGGAGCAGAAAGAAAGGGCCAGGCCTTCTATTATTTTGTTTTTCAGATCGAGAGCCTGTTAATAGCAATTTATGTTGACCAGGTCTGCAGCCAAGCACATTCTGTTCTCCACTGTTGGGGGGAGACTCGCAGGGCCATGGCAAGAGGCTGGACAGGAAAGACAACCAGGTCAACACTTTTATGATCGACCGTTCGGTGCCTCGGCCTGTACCAGGGGCAGCTTTAGCACGGGGCCAGCTTGAGCCCAGTCCTGTGTGGGGATGGCGTGGCCTCCCCGTGTGAACCCAAATGGCTTCAGTAAGTGGGGTGAGCTCCCCTCCCACATCATGCTCACTGAGGCTTGGGCTGCAGATTGCTTTCTGTGAAATGGGGTCAGGGCAGTGACTCTCAGAGCAGAGTCACTGTAGAGTTTCTCAAGACGGCAGGGCTTGGGAAGAACCCTACAGAGAAAAGGAGAGCAGCTGTGTGGGAGAAGACCCCAGAAGAGGGGGAGTGGGCAAGATGACCACCCTTGTGGAAAGAATGGTGCACAAGCAAAACAACCCCCTCTCTGCAAAAGAGCTGAGCTGGTGGAATGTAGCTCGGCGGCTGTGGGATCGGGGCAGTAGATAGAGCTCTGCGGGCACCTGGGCTCTGTGTGTGCAGGTTGTTGTGTGGGGTCCCGGAAGACAATGGAGAGGACAGGAGCAGCACCCGTGGCGCCCCCTCCACCAGGCTGGCCTCCACGCTTCCCTGGACTCATCACCAGTCCCCGTTCCTGGAAGCAAGCCCCCTTCCTCCATCCACTCCTCCTGTAAGTTGGTTTCATTCTTCCCTTGATTTCCCCTCATTCCCCTCCCAACTGTTTGGCTTTGACTGGAAGTAGCTACATTAGCCATTCTTCAAGGGGTCAGCGTCCCCCAGGGGGCCAAGGTGCCAAAGGGCAGAGAACTTTGGTCGGTGGAGGGCTTCTCAGGGTTAGGGGCGGTGGTGCCTGATCCCCGGGCCTCTGCTTCATGGCTGGGGGGAGCCCATGCTGCTTCGGGGAGAGCGAACCACTCAAGTGGCTGTTTCTCGCATCCCAGCTATGTCCCCAAGCTTGGTGCCGTTGGATGGTTGTTGAAGGGCAGACTCGCTGGAAGGATAAGAAGCTTTTGTGGGACTCTGGAAAGAGCCAGGGCAGAGAATGTAATGGGTTGGGTAGTGGGGGAGAGGGATGTTGGGCAGTGAGAGAATGGGCCTGGTTTCCAGCTGTGAGGATTGGACTATTATCTTATTATTATCCTCACACAGCTGACAGCCACTCAGTCCTGAGACGGGTTCCTTGTCCTCTGTTCTATGGGTTGACATCCTCTTGCCCGGCCAGCTCAAGGCTCTTGCCAGGAGTTCATGAAAGGATGAACTCTGAGATTTGATCTGGCATGGATAAGTTCATTAGGTGTGTATGGAGCATGTACTCTGGGCCCAGCACCAGACTCGGGGCCCCATTAGCAACCCCTGTGTCTTGCTAAGACAAATATTAGTAGGGCTTCTCTGTGCCAGGTGCTGTAAGGAACAACGGGGACTAAGCTACCAGCCGAGAGGCTAAGGAGCCCTGCTGCGGTAGAAAGGGGGGCGGGGGGCGTTAGCTTATAGTTCAGTTAGGAAGAGACCTCCAAAGTCAGAGGGAGCCTTGAATGCAGGCCAAGGAGCTAGGACTTTGTTGACAGCGAGGAACCAGAGAGTGTCTCAGAGAACTTTCAGAATGGGTGGCTCACTCATTCAGGCTGAAACTTCTGTCTCATTATTCTGCAACAAACTTCCAACAGAGCCCTGTGCTTTTTCTTTCCATTCAAAGACATTTTTGCTGCCGTCAGGTCGTGCTGAACCATCTGGTAATCAGACAACTTCCCTTCCCCTGCAGGGCTGCGGCTTCCCAGGGTGTGAGGCCAAGCCTGGCAGCCTGCGGAGGGGAGGTCCCTTTTCCTGGTCTGCCCTGACCCACACTCACCCCGGCTTTGGTCCCACAGGGGCTCAAGTGAGTGAGTGTGGCCAACTTTCCTGGGATGTGCCATTCCTCGATGAATGAGCAAACTTACTTTGTTCAGGATTGATCAATATTAATCTCTGGATGTCTTTTTTAAAGGCAGTGGTTTGATATATAGTTTTAAGAAATAAGGTATTCAGGGATGAATAAGCTCTACCAATTCCTTATTATGTGAAGGCACTGGGTGGTGGTGGTGGCGGGGAGGAGACCAGACCCTGCCCACAGGGAAGCTGTAATCTGTCTGGGGAGGTGAGACAGGATCACGGGAAATAGCTGCATTGTGGGAACAAGCCCTTTCAGCTGAGTTGGCCCGGGCACCAGGACTGCTGGAGTCGTTTCTGTCTCCATGGGCTTGGTTTCGGAGGCTAGGTACAAGGTGGAGTCAGACAGATCCCAGTTTGAGTCCTGGCTCTGCTGCTTCTGAGCTGTGAGATTTCTGGCAAATACTAGAACTTTCTTAGAGCCTAGTTTTTTCACCTACAAAGTGGGAAAAGGTTAATACCTACTTCCCAAGGTTAAAAGGATTCAGTGAAGTGATGCATATATTACAGTGCTTAGTTCGGGGCCTGCAGTATAGGAGACTCCAGTGAGTGGGAGCTGGTATTAGTATCGTGGCCACTGTGGTGGTGGCTGTTGGCCCTTGTGCTGGGGTGGGACAGTGCGGCTCTCCTGGGGCCTGTGTGGATGTGGGGCAGCTCCTCCCTTGGGTCATGAGCACGACCTCTGTGGATTTGGGAAAGGGGGAGGAGCACCTCTCCAGAGTGTGGTGGGTGCAGACTTTGTCGGCTATGACACCTCTCTCAGCCTCCCACTGTATTCTTCCTTCAGATGTGGCACACAAATGTGCTGTGTGACCCTGGCCAAGTTACTTAACTAATCTGTGCTTCAGCGTCCAGAACTGTAAAATGCTGCTGACAGTCATACCTGGTACTGAGAGGATTAAATAAAAAGGGTTATATGGAAAGTGTTCAGACAGTGTCTGGCACAGGGGGTGTGTCTTATCCAGGCATTGGCTGCTGTAATTATTGCTGTGGTTATTCTGTTACGGGAGTGACCCATGCACTCAAGGAAACAAGGGAATGAGCTGCTGCCCCAAGTGTTCCAGGAGCTTGGAGCAGGGGTGGGGGTGTGGGATGGAGGTGGGCCGGGGCGTGGACCCCAGTGTGTGGACGCCGCTCTGCTGGCGCTGGGGAGCGGCCCAGAAAAGGGGGTGAACTCTGTCACACACTAGCTGCAGGCAGGGTGTTGCCGGGTACAGAAGAAATGATATGGCTCAGAGTGCACTGCCTTTTGTCCTTTGCCCAGTGTTGTCCCTTAAACCGGTCACTAAGGGGACAGTTCTACATCAAGTAGAATGGATTTTTGCAAAACTGGTGAAATTCACGTATAAGTTGGGATCGCTTGGAAGCATGAAACCGCCACATTCACCAAACCCAGCTGCTGGTGAATTTTAATAATTCATAGTAATAGACAGCCTTTAACTAACCTTTGGACTCTGGGCCCTTGGGAGCTGCCTGCAGGAACCCAGCAGGAAGTGGAGGCTGTCCCCCGGCACCCAGCTCCAAAGCCGAGAGGGCTAATTGGGTTGGAAGTGCCTGCGGGGAAGCAGCCTTTTCTCCAAGGTCCTTGTGCTGTGGTTTTGGACTTGGAGTCAGGTGGACCTTCAGTGGGATTTTGCTTCCACCCCTTAGCTTCAGATGCTTCAACTATAAAATGGGTTTTATTGCTGCCAAAAATACCTGTGAGGCGCTTAGCTTGTTGTGCTCGCTCGAAAAATGGCAGGTGCTGTCACGATCCTTCTGCTGATTTGGGCTGCAGCCTGAGGGTAGAAACCAGGGGCTTAGCAGCACTTATATTTTTGCAACATCAAAGACCTTGGAACCCCCCCCCCAGCTTAAAATTTTATCTCCGAGAGAAGAAGTAATAATTCATCCCATGTGCAAATGGAAAAACTGGGACCTTGCAAGGTTGGGTGGTGTGTCTCAGGCCCCACAGCGAGTTACAGGCGTCCAAATCCCTTATACTTATATGGGGCTTTCTAAACCATCAAGTGTATTAAGTGCTTTGACATTTAGAAAATCACTATGCTGAGGCTCCAAGCAATCTGGTGGGGTGTATTTTGACTCCCAATTTACAGATAGGAAAACTGAGGCTCAGAGAATTAAGACTTTCCCAGGATTGCACCTTGATTTTGTGGCAGAGGTAGGGCTCAAACTCAGACCTTCTGCCTCCAAATCCAGGGCTCACTTCCACTGTGCACTCAGAATTATCACGTGGGTCTGTGTGATCCTCTCTGCAATAACTTTTTCCCTCCATACCCGTAGATCTGCTAGGTGGATAGTCATGAGCCAGGAGGGAGAGGGTTAAATTCCTTCCTAAGCGAAGGAGCTGGTTTTGAGCTGGGCGCCTCCAGTGACCCCATCATTGACCCTCACCCCCTGGGTCAGGGCGACAGGCTGTGGGGGAAGGGAAGCAGAGCAGCTTTAATGGCCCTGTGCGGGCAGAGGGAGGGCCTAGGGAGGCAAGAGCAGGGGAGGGGACGCTCATCTCTCTTCTTCTTTGGACAAAGATGGACAGAGATGCCAGTGGCTTTTTTCAGTTTCCATAGAAAATCCCTAAGGTTCTCTTGCAGTAGAAGGCCATCAGCGTGGCCTGAACTCTTAATCAGGCCATGGAGCACAGACAGCTCTTAGATACTGGAAACGCTGGGATGTGTTCTTGGGTAAGTGGGAACTGGGATAGTTTTTACCGGTAAAGGTACCAGTAATAGAAAACGGAAATATCAAATGAACCTTAGGGCAGGATGGGACTTTGGTCCCAGCCTGTCATTCATTGAAGAGGAAAAGGATGATTCGAGTGGCCCACAGAAACCAGCACCTGTGCAATAAGTGGATGACTCTGGAAACTGGGAAGGCTTCTCCTTTCCCTCCTTCTCTCCCCAGGTGGCCCCACCCCAGTCACCCCCTCTGTTAGCTCAGACCTTATTCTTTTTTTTTTTTTTTTTTTGCGGTACGCGGGCCTCTCACTGCTGTGGCCTCTCCCGTTGCGGAGCACAGGCTCCGGACGCGCAGGCTCAGCGGCCATGGCTCATGGACCCAGCCGCTCCGTGGCATGTGGGATCCTCCCGGACCGGGGCACGAAACCGCGTCCCCTGCATCGGCAGGCGGACTCTCAACCACTGCGCCACCAGGGAAGCCCCAGACCTTCTTCTTTAGACTATTTGTTTGGATTATCGTCCCTCTGTCCTCCCCAAATGGACCTCAAGGAGGTACAGAGCTGTAGAGGAACTGCCCAGTGTTGTTCAGCAAGTCGGGGGTGGGGAGGTGGGGAGAGAGCTGTTCTGGAAACCAGGCGTCAGCCCAGTGCTTTCCTTGAAACTGCCACCCTAAGAAGGACAATTGAGGCAAAGATTTCCGGGAAAGCCAAGGAACTGACTTAGAGGAAGTGAGCAAAATCTCTTCCTCTATCCGCATCTTCCTCCCCCCAGATCCCTTTCTCTCCCTGCTGAGGAATCCTGAATACACCTGTCTCTGCATGGCAGGTAAAAGCCTTTCATTGTTCCTAGAGGTGAGGGAGGCACTGAAAGGAAGGCCTAGCTGGTGGGGCGGGTCTGGCACTGTCTGGCTCTGGCCTTTTTAGACACTTCAATTAGTTACGTTAATTATGGCTTGGTGAGCAAGGGGTTCTCTAAAGGCAGCTAGCCTCCAGCCTGCGCGCTCCCTGACCCCTGGCCGGACATGAGTCCCCAGCCTGTGAGTCTGTGTTATGCTCTCACCTCTGCCTGTCTG